CTGGATCAAAACAATGATTTGTTTTGATCCTAAAACAGATCTCAAGTCCTTTTCAGGACTTGAAAGGCTCTGTAAACATCTTAGAACTTATCCTTCATTTCAGTTTCCTTCTTTCACATGCTGGCTTCTTTCAAGACCTTGAACTCAGTTAATGTATATCCACCTCAGCTCTGCCTGGGTGTTTCTTTGGCTTGAAGGTCTTTCCTCCATATCACTCTGATCCTCTCCCAACCTCCCTTAATTTTTAAGTATTATAGGGTTTTTTTTTTTTTTACTAAACACCTTGCCTGAAATTCATCTCACTTTATTCTCTGTCTCTTTCCCACTTGTCACCCATTCTAAACATGTGACAATAAACCTTGGGCTTACTGTCTATTCCCAACCACTAGAAAGCATATACCATGGAGAGGGAGGAAATATCTCTTTTGCTCATTTATATCTCCAGTACCTAGCTCAAGGCTAATTCAATGAATGGCATTAAGTTCTACCAAGCATGTCCAATCTTTTAGCATTGAGACACTATGTTGTCATACACAGAGTTCATACTTAATGCAGAGTTAAAAAAAAAAAACAAGCAAAAAAGAAATCTCATAATGTTTTGAAGTTTTGAGTAAGTTTATGATTTTGTATTATGTTGCCCTGCTATATGAAGTCCTTGGGCCACAGAGCTGACACACCTATACGTGAACTTGTTAAATGAGATATAATCTGACCATCTAAAACTAATTTTAAAGTTTGTGTTGAAATGTCTTAACTTCCAAATCTGAAGTCCACAATTCCATGACTTTTCAATACATTTTCTCTGAGAAGTATATTTGAGTAGTGTTGGCAAAAGTAAATGCACAAAAACATTCTGGGTGGGAAATTTTTCAGTATAAGTTATAACTAAAAATAACAACAACTTTCCATACTTTTATTACCCACTATTTCCAATTTAGGCTATTTAGTTTATAGAAATAAATAGTATTTGTAGACAATGACGTTCTTTATAGCATTTTGAATTCAACATGGCTATGCTTCCTGTAATTAAAAAACCTTTAAAAAGTTTATCTTCCTTAGAGAGTAGAGTCGGAGCAACTACGAAGAAGAACAGATTACAGTTTTATTGAACTGAGGCTTCAAAAGGTATCGCTGAGCAACGTGACTGCTAATTGCAATGCTCTGTTCTGGGATGTCTCAGTATCCGTCATTCCTACAAGCCCCTTAACAACAGATTCCTTTTAACTACAGGGTGCTTTCCAGCCTCCTTACTACAGGACTTATACCAGGGAAGGTCACCTACTCTAAATTCAGATGACCAGTTGATTGACCAGCAGTCTATCTGATGGATACATCCTAGATCTGTACCTTGAAGGAAGGCACTGAGATTTCTCTCATGTACTTGAGACATGATACACCCAACAAAGTCAATGGGACTAAAGCCAACTGAAATACAGAAAAAGCAGTCAACAGCAGTGTGCAGCAGACACAGAGAATGGGTGACTGAAGCTGGAAGTCCTAATATACCTCCTTGCTCTTAAGTGCTGGTTCTTGATTACTGCTGATCTTACATCCCCAGGTAGGACCACAATAGGAACTCTTACAACTGTTTAACTATGTATTTGCTTTTCATAAGCAGAGGAAATTTAACAGACCATTAAAGAAGTGACTGGGTTAAGCCTTTAACAGTGGGCATGACCTCTGAAAAGTTTACTGCTCCACACTGCCCTCTGATTATATGCAGTGCAAATAAAAAAATACGACAGACAACCATGATAAGTCTAATTACGTCCTGAAAGGTAGAGTTGGTTTTGGTTTCTTTATGAAATATCAAATTCTTTCCTGAAAGAAAATCAAAGTTTTACATTTGTATTTATCTTGCCTAGTATGAAATCTAGTAATATCCAAGGAAAGGTAGGAGGTAGGACTAGACACCCCGTGTCACAAATCCCCAATACTTGTCATAAGGGAGGCACTAGTAGACAGTAGCCCCCTGTGGCTGATAGAGAGCATCTTTCTACAATTTTCCATTTATGTCATTTTAAGAAACGGATCACAGACAAAAGAAGCAAGTACATCAGTAAACATTTTATTATCTAAATATACTGTAACATTTTCAACGCTGTTAGAAACTATTGCAGGTGCACATTCCATTACTAATTTAAAGCCTAGGAAGCCAGGACCATAGGTACCAAAGTTTCAAGGAAAATAAAAGTTTGGTTTTGTTTAAAAAAAAAAAAAACCTAAGCAATAAAGTGATTATTTTTCTAAACAATTAACAAAATGTTTTATTCAAATGACTTACATTGGAATAAAGTCTTGAATCTAAGTTCTTCCTTATGTCATCCATTGCTGGGTGACAGGTGCAGAGAAAGGGACAATGGAGGCACGTGCTGCCTTCATGTCTGATCTATTAACCCTGCTCCTGGTTCTGGGTCTTAATCTGTGATGTGAACCCAGTATGGGCTTAACTGACGAGAGCAACACCTGAAGCTTTCTTAGCATTCTGCTGTGGAGTTTCTTGCTGTGCAGATCTCTGTAATCTCACATTACTTACTGTTCAGCTGGTGACCCACAACGATAAACCTAAACGAAAAGCTGTGTTCTCTTCGGATTATAACAAAACATTGATCTCTTGACATTCTGTTCACTCCTAATTCTGTTACATTACACAGATGAAATATGTGCTTGCTGAGGTGGCTAATTATTTTTGTTTTTCAAAAATTGCTTTCTTGAGATGCAATTCATTCAGCATATAATTTACCCACTTAAACTGTACAAATCAATGGTTTTAGTATGTCCAGTTATATGACCATCATGACAACACATTTCAGGATATTTTTACACCACTTAAAAACAAGCTAAGAACCCCGCGTCCATTGGCAATTCTTGCCGTTCCTCTCTTCCATGTCTGTGGGAATCACAAACTATTTCTGTTTCTGTGAATTTGCCTATTTTGGACATTTCATATAAATTGAATCATATAATTTATAGTCTTTGTGACTGGTTTTGCTCACTTAGCATAACGTTTGCAAGGTTTGCTGATTCATTCTCTAATGGAATTTGCCTCATATTCACACATTTTCCAAATATTTAATGTATATTTTGGATAGTTATAAATAGGGAGCAAATGGTTTTCTGAATTTATGATTATCTTTGTTTCCTATAAAACTCAGAATCCTGGAAGGCCTCTTGAAAAAAGAAAGATGTCACCAGGTTCTTTGAACATAGAATGTGGAAATGAACAGCAAGCCCCAACTGTAGTCGAAGAATTATTGGCAGCTGATTATTGCTGGGTGAACAAGAGCTGATCTTCTTAAAGGGAGAAACTAGATAGGCTGACTAAAGCCCAGGGGATGAACTTATACTCAGGGGTATCTCAGGGTGCCAACTTTACATATAGGCCTTAATACAAATGACAGAACATATGAATTCCCATGGGGAGGTGGCTATGGGAGGGTGCCAAAGGGAATGGGGGTATAAAGATAATCTTAGGTATGAAATACACAAAAATTCAATAAAAATTTTAAAATAATAAAATTAGAATAAAAAAGACCTTTGACTTCAAGATGTAGACATATGAAACAATTCCCATGGGGAATGTTTCTGTGAATTTGCCTATTTTGGACATTTCATATGCAAATGTTGTCGCTGATATAGAGAAACTGGAACATATGCACATTGCTGATATAGCATGAAATAATGATACAGTCACCTTCAAAATGTGACAACTCTTTAAAAGATAAACATAGACTAAACATAACATCTAGCACATTTATATAGATAATCCAGTAGAACTAAGATCAGATTTCCACCAAAAGACACAAAAGTCCATAGTACTACCCAGAATGCCCCCAACCTGGAAATAATCCTAACACTCTATAATCTGTGAACAGTTCAACAAAAGGTGGCACGTCCATACAACACCGGATACTCAGCAATACAAATGAGCATGCTGCAGGTGCGTACACAGCACTCACAGACCTAAAATCACTATGCTCCATGAGATAAACCATCACAGAAGACTGCACATTGTGTAATGCCATTTAAGTAAAATTTCTAGAAAAGACAAACTATGAGACACAGAAAAGACAAGATCTGTGGTTACTTGGACTGGGAGTAGGAGCAGGAGTTTAGTGCAGACAAACAGGAAAGAACTTGTAAGTAGGTCACAAAATAACTTAAAACTAGACTGGGGTTGGGATTATATAATAACTAAGACATACTGAACTATATATTTCAAATGCATGACTTCTAAGATATTTAAATTATACCTCAATAAAGCTTTTACAAGAAAATGAAAGCAAACAGATATTCTTGCAGATAAACCACACAAATTGCAGAAGTTTTGGGGAAAAACAGTATCAGAAAACTTCTTGAATATAATTTTCAAAACATTTGTCTACCACACTGTATATACCTGGCTATATCAGATTTTTTTTAAGTAATATCAAAATGAGATATAGCATGCACTAAGGTTTGCTTGCGAATTCTTAAGTATTATTCTTATCAGCAAGTGCAGTGAGACATTATTATTGTTTGAATGATTAATTATTCCTATGTTACCTACAGTTTCTAGTTTTCTAACTCAGAAGTGTCTGTTACATATCCTGCCCAACTTGCCTTAGGTTATAAAAGTTTCTGTATTGGATTCTAAAGCAATGAAATATTCTTGTCTTTTCTCTAAATTAGATATTCATGTCACAATCTTAAAATAATTGTGACAATGTTAATAGCTGAAAAACAGTGATTTAATGGTCAAAGTATGTGGATAACATTAGTTTAATTAATACTAGTTTTCTTATGTTTTATAATTTAAGAACAATGATACAGACAGTGAGCTTATGTAAATCTTCCATTCTAAAACTGCAATGATGTAAAGCAGAAGTTCAAGTGAAGTGTCTCCAAAGTTCAGGCCTCAAAGATACTTTCTATCTTAATTCTAAATGATGTCATTCAAAACTAGTTAGAAATCTATAAATTTATAGCTTGAATTCAAAAACAGTACATTAGGCACATACCTTATAATATCTCCTTCAAGAGCAATCACTCTCTTAATGATTTTCTGTTCTGGGTTTTTAGGAGACCTAGGATAAAAAAATAAGGTTATACAATCAGGTATGTCTCCATTGTTTTAAGAAAATAAAAATAAAATAAACTCTAGAACAAAATAGGCTACATTAAGCTCACTGCAGAATTCTTTGTACATATGACATGACATCAGTCTTACTTAGGTTTCAAGTGACAAAGGTTACTACTGAAATAATCCTCTTTAAAATCTCTGGAGGAAAAAGACGCTAAGATGAAATTTCACAAAAATTAAAAAATGCAGGTGGAAGATAAGCATGGTGGTACACTCCTGTGACTCCAGAACATGGAGGTAGAGCAGGAGACTGACACATAACACATTCTAGGCCAGCCTGGGTACATAAGCCCCCCGTCAAACAAAACAAAAACAGAAAAACAAAAGGATAAGCACTTTTATTATTAAAGAATAAAGTTCATTATTCATATGTTGTTATTAAAGACAAGTACTTATAGGAATTGAATTTACATGTAAGAAAGACATTTCTTTTAAATGATAACTTTTTAAAAAGTTCCTACCATTTTAAAATTAAAAGCAGAGCTTAATTTATACCTTCCAGAAAACAATGAGGATTGGAAGTATTCTTTAAAAATAAAAATATAAAAGAATTAAGGGATGGAGAGATGGCTCAGTAGACTAGAGCACTATTTGCTCTTGCACAGGATCTGGCTTAGTTCCCAGCACCCACTTTGCAGTATACATCCTCTTCTAGCCTCAATGGTAGATACTGAATGACATGGGTGTGTATATATATATATACATATATATATATGCAAAATAGTCACTCTTGTAACCAAAAAATTTTTTAATTCAAAAAATGAATTAAATAATACCTTTAAATCACATATAAGTTCAGAACATTGAGGATTATAGAACCCAGTGATAAGAAAGACAGTCCACAGTTAAAAGAAATAGACAGCTTTTTATGTAATTTAAAAGATATTTTGTATTTTGATCTCCTTGGTGATGGTATATTTTCATTTGGAGTAATACTGTTGAAATAAATCCCTGTCTTTCCTGGAATACATACCCCGAGTGATTCTCCATATTAGAATGAGATTGATCTGTGAGATCAAGAGAGCATGGGAAAGGGATGGGCACATCCCTTTTGAGATTTGGGTATAAAACAAACTTTCACCTAGAATTTCTCTTGTGTTTCTCCCTTCTCTCTCCCCTCCTTGTTTCTCTTCTGTCCTTCCTCTTTCTCTTAAGCTTCTCTTCTGCCTTCCTCTGGTGGAAGCCATGTCTGCCTAAGCAGCCCTATGGAGAAAAGACCAGGCTGCTAAAGTCCCTGCTACAGGGAAGTGAGCTCAGACACAGGCTCTTCAGACCCAGTCTAGTCTGCAGGGACTAGAGCTCTGGGCAGCAGCCCAACTTCACCTACAGAAACCCTGAGCCAATGCCCTCAGCTAGACCACCCTCAGCAACTGTGCGCAATCCAAGTATGTTGTTTTAAGCTGCTAGGTATTGGGATAATTTTTAATGAAGCAATGGATAGCTCAATCTTAATATGGATAATTTCCTCCTAATAACATTTTAAATCTTCGGATTTAAGAGGCTTGTTTCAAGAAACAGGTCATATATCACATAAATGATTATTTAATGTGTATTTGAAAATCATGGGTAGATAAAACTATTTTCAATTCAAGTCACATTTTGAATTGAAGTACTTTTAGGAAGGAATGTAAAGGCATAAAAGCTGAAAAAAAATTAAAAAGATTGAAAATGTATACTGCATCAAGGGGCATATGAAATTTTAATATAAATTTTATACCACAATACATCTTATAGAGAAAATGAAGTCATATAAAGTAGCTGCAATTGCTTTCATGGGTTTTCACACTATTACTAATATTCTTTTTTAAAGGGAAATTTGATCAGAGTTTTGACTGGCTTCTTCCTTTCAACAAATTGAGTAAACACTATATTTCTAAAATCTATTAACTGACAAATACAAAGTTAACTTGAGGGTTCTAGGTACCTTCAAGTTAGGGAATTTGGGTTCTCTATACAAGGCAACTTACAGACTTCTTAAACATTATTTCTTCTACATCTATCTGTTTAGATAACTACCAATGCATAAGACAATATTCTAATTCATGTTATGTATGAAAATAACAGAATGTTATGAGATTTTCTTAATAAAATGACAGAGAATATTAATACTATTAAAAATAATATTGATGGTCTAGGATCATGGATATTGTAAATATCAATATTGAAGTCATACAAATGACTTTCTGCAGGAAACTCAAGTTTTTATACTCCATTTATCATATTGAGTTTAAAAGTTCTAGGAATTTATTTTAAAGAAGTAATTTTGGATGTAGAAAAAATTTACCTAGATATTTAAAACAGAGTTGTCTATGTAAAATGGTTTTTAAAAATTTAACAAAGGGTATTAAATAACAGTCCATAAAATATACTATAACACTTTAAAGTCATATAAAGTTTGTTATGAACTGGTTGTGGTGACTCACACTTGTAATCGCAGCATGTAAAAGACTAGAGTAGGAAGACTGTGAGTTCAAGACAGTGAGTTCAAGGCCAGCTTGAGCTACATTGTGAGAAGTAGAAGGAGAGGGATAAAAAGGAGGAGGAGAAGGAGGAGGAACAGGAACAGGAGGAGGAGGAGGAAGAGGAGGAGGAGGAGGAGAACGAGGAAATAATGAAGATATAGAAAAACATCAATCAATTCATGGTTTAAAATAAAAATTAGAAAATACTATCTCTATTATCTGTTATCATCTGGGCCATGACAACATCTGTAAGTGTAGAAAGGGAACTGTGTATCTAATTTATTGGGAAAGATCAGGAAGAATATAAGACTGAAAGTGGAGGATTGTATTGTTAAGAAACTTTATGTCCAGACTCTAGATCTAAATGATCAGTTATGGCCTTCAGTAGATGGCAACTTTTTGTATCATATGACATGACCTAAAAAGAAAGGCTCCACCAGGAAAGAGTTGAGCTAATTAGCAATTTTCCTGAGGTAGGATTAACACTAACAAAATGATATGAAAATCATCCATCCCCTATTTGTGTAAAAAAAAGTTGTGCCAACAATCTTTAAGCTTCTAAGATGCTTAAGAAGTATTCTATATTTTTCAATAATTTTTATTTTAAGATCATGATGCAAAATAGCATAAAATGTGCTATCTATATAATTAAAGTCTTATGAATTACTGCTTCAAACATATCTATAAATTTTAATGTAATAGTAACTCATGAATCTAATCAAATAATTCAAAATGAAAAAAGCTATTACTAACATTAATTCCATTACTGCTTAAAATCTATATCTATATTTTAATCATTAGGCTATTGAATGCATTTACTTTGATGGAAGTGGAGGTGGTAGCAGAGTTATTACAGATTTGCATCATAAAAGTTATTAAACTTCTCTTTGTCTTAGTTTTCTTGGCCACTTGCCTGTCTCCTAGACACTGTGTGAAATAACAAGTGAAGGATTTGGTCTTATTTCAGAAATACAATGTCTCTTACCTAATACTCAAATTTGCATTTAAATTTGTAATTTTAATGTTTTCACAATATGCAATCCTTTATAATATTTATTTCTTGGACCTGAGAAACAAACATTTCATTTTATGCTCATGATCTAATCAAGCATAAGCCTTGGAAAGAAAGAAGAATGGAACTTTTCCTATACCTCATGGGTCTCAGTGATGGATAAGGTACAGCACAGTATAACTGTAATCAGAAGGAACAGGGTCCCACTCAGATATGAGAGGATGTGTCATGATCTGTTGAATTTCAATTTCTGTCATGATAGAAATGTTAACATTTTTACCTGGTAACCGGCCAAGTACAGCTAGCTGTGTCTTATATCATAAAAAACTCTTTGTCTAATTCAGGTTCTTGCATATCCCCCTGGCCAAAGGACCAGAAAAGCTGTGCTTTATGGGGACAGAGCAGTGAACTCACATCCCCTGACCCCAACTAATCCTGATGTTACACAGATACCTTTACCTTGGAACTAGACACTCTTATGCTTCCATTTACATTGCAATCACAGAATCTCTCTGTGTGCATTGGCTAGATTGTTATATTTATATGATTCAAGGTTGGCTGAGGTTATCTACCACAGGCTTAGTCTCTGGACTAACCACAGTCTAATATAAATACAGTCCCTAAAAAATATCGGTATTTACTAGACACTAATTGTTATTAAAATGCATATATCACAGTGTGTTCTCAATCTTGCTGTTTGTTTGTCTGTTTGTGGCACTTGAGACTGAATCCAGAACTTTGTACAACTTGCCTAACTTTGTCAGGAAAGTAGCACTATTGAACAAAACCTCCAACTCCAGCTGTCTAAATCTTGACACTTCATTAATGAAGAAAAAAGTAAAAATCAATAATCCTTGAATGCCTTATATTAGATGGGCTACTTTTGCCTGTTTAATCACTGTGGTTTTTAGAAATGTAAGTTTTGCTACTGTTTTAATCATTAAGATAATTACAGAATGAAAATTCTACTGAACACAGCTATAAGAAGTCATATTCAATGAACTTTCCTCTTCCATTCTCTTCTTGAGAATATAGATAGAGTTTGATATGGTTTGCCTAGCATTTAGAGCTAGAAAAGCTCTTGGATTATAAGCATCCCCTTCTCTACTACCTTTAATCTTGCCCATTTCCATTATGTAAACTGTCTACTTGGTGACTGCATGACACATGTCCTGCAAAGACACAGTGAACAGGGCCAAGTCTGCTTAACTATTCAACCTCTGCTATGAATAGGAAACTATATGCCAATTGGGTTCTAACGATGAGAGGCCCTAAACTAGAAGCCATACAATCAAATCTGACTTGTAGGTATGTGTTTGTTTTGTCCACATACCTTTTCAAAATAAGTCACGAGTTAGATGAGCAAATACAAAGTTTCACATGGAAATTCTAACTTCTTCTTGTTCCTCTTCAGAAGATAAGTGTAACCACGAAATCTGAGCCCACATACATGCATGAAAAATTCCAGTG